GTATCAGAGACAGTGCGATTGGCACAGGACAGAGCAGAGTTTAGGGCTGTTGTACACAGGGTCGCTATGAGTCACAAGTGACTCGATGGCACATAACAACAGCATTATTTGCGTGACAACAGTACAGAATAAGAGGTGCACCACAAAGTGAACTATGGGGCAGGAGGAAAATGTGCAACAATGAAAGAATATTTTTAAAGAGAAAAGCAAACTGTGAGGGGTAGGGAGGATCATGGGCAACAATGAATGAAAGAAAATCCAAGGTTTTTTGGTAAACTTTCATTAAAGTATTAATAAAAAATAAAAGAGTTTCTCAATACATTCAGACTGTCTTAGGAGCATCTGTAGTACTCTGAGGTCACAAACCATGTTGGTTTTAATTATAAACAACAACAAAATACTTTAGAAAATGTCGGCTGAAGAAAATGTTTACAAAACTTAGTCATTCACCCCTCACCAATGAAGAGTGTCTCAAATTCTTGGATTCCTCCAAATTCTTTGGTTCCTCCCTAGTGAAGAGTGATCCTATCTCCACTGGTGATGCAGAAAGAACGTGGTACGATTTCATTATAGAGAGAAGAGAATAACACGGTTACTAGGCAATTTACAAGCTTGGAAGCAGGAGTGGCATCCACTTCCATAAATAACTTCCCTCCAGAAACCCTATGAACCTGGAGAAAGGATGAAAGTTACCCAGGTGTCAAGGACTTTTGTTCATAGGGCCGCTAGGAGTTGCCTACGACTCTACGGCACTTAGCAACAACAGGCAATTTACACACTGAAAGACATGCCAACATAACAAATTCTGATATAAAAAAGTTGTTGTTATGTGCCATCAAGCCACTTTGCAACTCATAGAAACCCTATGGACAACAACTCTGAACCCTGCTCTATTTTAAGGCAATATCTTTGTCCCTGACACACATAACCCCATTACCCCAGTCACTTGAGTCATCTTATCCATATAGGGTTTTCCTCTGTTATGCTGTTCTCCCACCCTTACAACCATAATGTTACTCTGCAAGGACTGGTCCCTCCTGGCAACGTGCCCAAAGTATGTTAGACTGAATTTCAAAACTCTTGCCTCCAAGAAGCAGCCTGGTTTCACCCTCTCCAGGACAGACCTGTTTATTTTCTTAGCTGTCCATGGTATATTCAGTACTCTTCTCCAGCATGCAAAAATGTGCAGGCATCATTATTAATTAACCAAAGCTCTGTCAGTCAGAGATAGGTAAGAATGAAAGCTAAACTCACCAGGATCTAGTCCTAAAGGACAGAGTAGGACCGTCCTAAAGCTGGACTGCCAAGGAAGTCTATGGAAGTTGACTGTTACACCTTTCTCCTATGGAGCACCTAGTAAGGTCACACCCCTGAACTTTTGGTTAGCAGGTGAGCACTTTAATCCTTGAACCCCTGGGATGCCTACGTAATACTGCAGCCAGACTAAATTATAATAGTAATGATATTAATAAAACAGTCTTCAAGATTCATGAGACTCTTCACAGAACCAAAACCAGAAAACATCTTTATGGATAGAACAATTTAAGAGTAAGGGAGCTTTGTGGCCTAGTGGTAAGAAGCTGCGCTGCAATCCCAAAGGCATGCAGTTCGAATCCACCAGATGCTCCGCTGGAGAAGGAGGGGGCAAATCTCCTCCTGTACCAGCTGGATCTGATTCAATGGTACATACACACAAAATAATAAAATAAAAAATAAATTTAAAAAAAAAGAACAATTTAAGAGTAAGCCAGGGCTAATACTGATAAAGCTTAGAATCCATCGACTCTCCTCCTTCTCCACTGGTTTTGGATATTGTTTAAGTCTCATATCCTCCACCCTGAAGATGTCTCCTAATATCAAGTCAGTGCCTCACTGACTTCCAGTCTTGTGCTGTGTTCCAGTCTTGTGTTGTCCATCTAATACCAATTTTCATTACTCAAATACAGGTCAAATAATATACTCCTGAGTGGACTGAATTGTGTCACTCCCCCACAGCCCTAAAAAAGCTTGTTGAAATGCCAACCTCTGTCCCCATGAATGTGGCCTTGTTTTAGTAAGACTCTCCTCTGTTCACTAATTACCCTCAAGTTGGTTCCAGTTGATAGCCAACTCACCAGTGGGGTTCTGGTTCTGAGGCTGTAACTCTCACAGGAGGAAACTGCTCCTCTTTCATTCTGGAAGCCCAGATAGACTCGAACCCTTAGATAGTTACAGCCTTTGAGTGAACAGTGGTACTCACTAGAGACCACTAGTGTTAGCTCCCTGTCTTTCTTCAGCAGTTAAATGAGATCATATCAAAGTGGGACGAGTTCTAACCCTAATATGTTCTGAGAGGGATTCACACACAGTGGGGGAGACAGACAGCAAGTGTGAGGTCCAGTGTTCTTTGGTGCTGACCAGCGGGCTCCACCTTGTAATAATCCCGTACACAAAAAGATCCTGGGCCATCCTCACAGTCTCTGTTGCACTTAAACTCATTATTGCTGTAACTCTATCAATGTGTTTCATTGAGGGTGTTCATGTCTTTTGCTGACTTCCTACTTTCCATGCATAATGTCTTTTCCCAAGAACTAGTTCTTCTTAACAACATGGCCCAAGTGAGCAGAAACCATTGTAAATTGCCAACAATTGCCAAGCAGCCACCAGAAACTAGGAGAGAGAAATGGGACACTTTTATTAGACCCCCTTCCCACGAAAGACTCCACACAGCTGAGCCGCTGATTTAGATGTCTACTCTTCAGACTGTGAGAAATACCCTTCTGTTCTTTAATGTCACCCACTTTGTGATATCGTTGTAGTAGCCCTAGAAAGCGCTCCTCAGCATCCTCGCATCAAGAATCTTCCATTTTATTCCACAATAATCTCCAGAAATAAAAGGTAAACGTTTTAGCATGGCATTTATGATCCCTCTTGACAATTTCAAACCTATTTTTCACCACACAGGTTCCTGAGCAGTACAAATTATTAAGTTCTGAGCTAGTAGCCAAAGGCTGATGGTTCAAATGCACCAAGAAGTACTGCAGAAGAAAAGTCTGGTGACCTATGGCGTGCTTATTCTGAAATTTATGAGTTTTATTTCTTGTTCTTGAGGTTGGGTTGGTTTTGTTGTTGACCCAGAAGGTAACATTTAACCCTTTTATGAAAGTGAGAGCCATGAGAACCTACCCTAGTGTTAAATGTAATCTAGATTTCTCTCCTCATGTGAACTTTCAGTCGCTTCGAAAACCCAGACCTAGGACATAAGTGGTCGGGGGTAGAACTCTCCTTCCCCTCTGGGGGATCCTGGAGGCCCTCCTGGCCATTCACCTGCAGCACAGCCCTTGCCATGCTGGGGGAGTCTGCACGTTGTTAGAATGCTGAAGTGAAGCTTCTGTTCCTTCCATGTTACGCTGCCACCAAAGGCAGGAGCTCGAATCCACCAGCCATTCCAGACAAAGATGGGCAATCTCCTCCCGACAAAATTTACAGCCTCGGAAAACCTAAGAGTGTCCGTAAGTTGGGAACAACCCGCGGGAAGTGGGTTTGGATTTTGGGTTCGAGCACGGTAGTGGAGTTTACACACTGAGGCGAAAGAGGAAGACTTGATGATTTAGAACTGGAAATCCAAAGCAAAAGGACGCCCTGCTGTCCAGTCTATCCGACCGCGAGTGGACGTCCCGTAGCTCAGCGACGCGAGCTCTGTCGGGGTCCCGGAGACAGGTCCCCAGCCCGCCGCGCGGGGATCCGCGCCCCCTCCCCGCCGGCACCGCCTAGCCCCGCCCCGCGCTTGCCAGGCAACGTCCCGGAAGTCCCGGGGAGGCGTCCGCGGAGGGCGCCGGCGGAAGATGGCGGAGGGCGGCGGCGGTGGCGGAGCGGCGGAGCAGGAACGGCGGTCTCCGGTGCCGCGGCCCCCAAGCGCACGGGATCTGCAGGTGCGGCGGGCGGCCGAGGCGGGAGCGGGGGCGCGGCCGCGGGAGCCCGGGGCCCCGCAGGTGTTCGTCGGGAGCCGTCATGGGGAAGCCGCGGGGTCCGCCGGGCGTGCAGCGCGCGGGGGTGCTGGTGGAAACAGGTGCCCGCGACGCTCGAGTTCCCGTGTCTCCTTTCCCCTCCACTCAGTTTACAGTTTCTGGAAATTGCAAAAGAACTGCATTTAGAACGGCATGTCTCAGGTCATTTGTGCGCTCCTGAAATGTTTCCTGTGATTTAGGGCAGTCCCTGCAGGGGAATCAACAGACACTTCTAAGGGGTAGCAGGTGTGCCTATTTGTCTCTTGTGATAGATGCTGGTTTTGTGTAAAAACGCTTTTTCTATTATCATACAGTTTTTCTATTCCATGGGATTTATTTAAGCATTTCATTGTGCAGCTACTCATCTTAGTTTCTGAAGCTACAATCCGTAAAATACTCCATTCAAGAAATAGAGACTTAGAGTTTTATAACATTATAAGGCCCTTTAGTTGGCTGACTGCCAGCGCAGTAAATACTATCCACCAGCTGACTTAACCATTTTGGGTCTTTTTTTCTGTCTTCTTATTAAAACTCAATAAGTAAACGTCTGAAAATAGCTGTAATTACAAATAAAAGAGAATCCACATTCCTTGATACAACATCCTCTTGCTTTATGGTCATGCTGCCATTCGGCGCCTTTTTTTTTTTAAAAGAAAAAAACCCAAACAACCCACCATTCATCTTAGTTAAGAGTTCCCATCACAAAAGCATAAAGTGACCGCCTGCCATGTAACAGCATACATTTTAGTTCTGGAGAATGCAGAGATAAATAGAACATCAGATCAAAGGTAAGTGCTAAAATCTTTGTGGAAAAGGTATTTTTACCGATTGAAAATCTGCAGACTTTTTGTAGAAATAGGATATGAATACATTTATCAGAACATGTTAAGATAGAGTGAGATTGAGTCCCAAAGTAAGCCATGCAAAGAAGAGGAATGTGGGCAAAGATCATTAACACATTTAGAGATGAACCTAATGTGGGATAAATCCATAAATCCATTGAATAGTGGTATACAGAGTCAAAGAACAGCTGTCATTCTGCATCCTTTTTATTATAGATACCCATCCTCCCATTGCTAACCAGTAGGGTCCCCTGCAAGCAGCTCTCTCTCCGACAAAGTAGCATTTCCTCATAGGCTTTCCAAGGCTGTATGATGGAAGTAGACTCCTGTATCTTACTCCCAAAGCACTGCATCAGCAGCTAGCGCTTAACCAGTAGCCCACCAAGACTTTTTACTAGTACAGTGAGGCATCACCAAAGAGGCAGCCTGGGTGTGGGTAAAAATGGTCAGACTGGCTTCAGTGTGCATCTTGGTTCTGCCACTTCGTAACATGAATTTAGGAACGTTCTTTAACCTCCAGTCGTCAGTGTAAACTCCAGTGTTCCTTCATAAACTGGAGATGATGTTGGGTTCGCAGTGTTAAGGATTAAATGAAGACATGTTTGTAGACTGCCCAATCCCGGTATTAACTGGGATAGTACTTTCTCAGTAGTTAACTGATTCCTTTTCATTCAAGGCAGTAGTGTCCACTGTTGCTTTCCCTGGTCACTGCTGCCACCACCACCACCACCAGTTGCTCTCCGGTCCTCTCTGACCCATAGCAACCCCCGTAGGTGTCAGTAGTTCATCACGCTATCAGGTTCTCAGTGGCTGATGTTTCTGAAGCAAATCACCAGCCTTTGTTCTGAGACAGTCCTGGGTGGACTCTGTTGTTAGCTGCCACTGGGCTCAGTCTGTTCTGACTCATGGAGACCAGGGTATGCAGTGTAGACTGCCATGGCTGTATCCGGAGGAGGTGTGTTCACTTCTAGGTGTGTTTAGACTGGCCAGATGTGGACCAGACATTGAGGGTTTAACTCTTGCCACTCCCCGGGTACTTCTGGTGGCTTCTAGTCACTTCTATTGATGTTAGAGCTATGCAGCTTAATGTCCATTGCCTCTAATGTAAATCTATATTTCTTTTTATGTGAAAATGAGATGTTTGATTAATGACTACCTGCTACCAGGTAAATAGTTTGCAAACTTAATCCATTGGATCAATAGATGACTACTGCTTTTAATATTCTTTTGTTAATAGTGACACTGCCTCATAAATTAGAAGATTCCCCCCTCCCCCATGGTAAGAAGCTGCTTTGCAGTCTCCAAAGGAGGCAGTTTGACATCACCAGCTGCTCTGCAAGAGAAGGGTGGGTAGTTACCTCCTATGCAATTTACTGCCTCAGAAAACTCGCGGATTGTCGGTTCAGGGTCAAGTATATGTCAGTCTGACTCAGTGACACACAACAACAGCAGCAGCATTTTCTGCTTTTCACTTTGGTAGCTCATGTTCACCCACTCACTTCACTGCTGTGTCCGAACCGACTCATAGCTGCTCTCCGTTGGGTCTTCAAGATTGTCAATGGTAGCGAAGGAGACTGCCTGTCTTTCTCCCACAGAGGTGCTGGGAGGTCGGAGCCTTGGCATGCAGGTAGCAGATTTCTTTGTGAGTGTACTTTTGTGTCAGATACTGTAAGTATTAACAATCTTCCTTTAGAGATTAATAACAATGTGATGCATTTGAAGAGAACGCAAAAAATAACCAAAGTGATGTTGTATCTTCACATACCAGGTTTTAAAAGAATGGGAGAACATTTTTCTTCCCAAATAGTTTCTCAGATTTTGAGTATTTGTGGTTTATTTTGTTACTGTTTAACCAGCCTGCTTATAGTAAACTTAAATACTTGTAAGTAACTCTGTTCCAGGGAGCTCTGATGGCTTAGTGAGAAAGAGTTGTGCTCTAGTCCAGAGGCACATGGTTCAAATCGGCAATCTCCTCACGTGTGACTACCGTCTCTGAAAACTTGCTGTAGGGTCAACTCTAGATGAGTTCTGACTTGAGGAACATAGCAACAACACTGTCCTGGCTGTCATGAACTGGACGTTTGCAGGCGTGTGAATCAGAGGCTGCTCAGATGACACCAGAGGAAAGCTGTGTCTCTCAGAAGTCCTCCATGGACTATGAACCAGATACTGTGGAACTGCAGACTTGGAAATCTCATTGGGGTGTCAAACAGAATCCGTCTTCTTGGCATCCTCTATTTCCTCAAGTAGGGAAATACTCAGAGGGAAAGTTTGGGCTGGGATTATTAGTGACCAGACTCAGCCTAAAAACCTCTTTGATGGTCATGTGTTTCTGGACGTAAGTCTCTCCTGGTGCACCTCATTATATCCGTGAGCCCACTTTTAACAATTAATTAAGATACTTATGTCTTCGTCTAAGTCTCTCTCCAGGATTACAGCTCATGAAAAAGGATTCTCTTCTTCATTCCGTTTGAGGGGAGTTGATACTGTGTGTTCAACACCTTTGTTTTGGGCATCCTCACCCAGCTAAAGAATTAAGCTGCAGTGTGGGGAGGGCAGAACTAGAGGGTGTGATGCCTGAGCCACAGAAGTAGCACAGGGTACACAATTGTAGTGACCCTTAGAAGAGCCCTTCTTTGTCTTTTTCAAGATGGTCCTGGTGTGGGTCAGTCGCTTTTTAGAGCATGTGAACTCAATAGGGCATCAGGCTTGCTGAGGAAAAATGTGAAGAGAAGGGAGGAGTGGAGGTGAAAGTCAAGGCAGTTTAACATGCCTGGCTGACATCCTTGTTTGGGCCTGCTTAAGGTCTTGAGTCTGGGCCAGTGGGATGATGTCTTGAGAAGTTCAAAATTTGATGGACAGACCCTACTCCAGCCAGTTGTTCCTGACATCATTGGTTGTATGACTTTGAGGACAGTCTTTATTTTGTGCATGTCAGGACCTTATAAGGTCCTCCTTAAAAGGTAATGGTACTTGTTCCCTGGCTCTGGTCTTGGCTTCTTTACCTAACTTGCTTTTAATATGGCTTCCTGCTTCCCTTAGTGTTATTGACATTGCCTTGACTTACTTGTGACCCAGCCTCACCTTGTTCTACCTGCCTTATCCAGTCTGAGCCTGACAGGACTAGGGATAACGGGTACTCTCATGCTGGAGTAGGTGGCAGAGGGTGGAAAACTATAAGTGAGGAGTTATCTATCAGTTACTGGGTTAAAATTACCACTGGAGATCACTTCCCCAACTCGGGTTCTCATCCTGAACTTGTATCAGAATCCTCAGCAAGTCTCATAGAACATACTGCCTACCTCTTGTCTCTTAATTCAGCAAGTGAGTAGAAGTTCCCACAAGTTCTCAGGTGATGCTGATACTGCCGTTCTGCACAATACACCTTTATTATCCCTTCTGGCAGAATCAAAGATAAGAACTACAGCACATTTAATCTTTGGCTACATGCTTAATTTTCTCTCTCTAGTTACCTGGCTTTCAGTTTGCTCTTCATATTCCAAATTCTAGAGGAAAGCAATATCATACGTACTTTATTCTTCTGTATTACTAAAGTACCTTAAAGAAATTAGGAAGAGTGTTTAGATTGTGGGATTCTTTACTTAGCTAACTCACAGTGCACAGGTTTTTATCTTTTTATTTAACTGAGAGTTTGTTCTGTTGGTTTTGACCAGCACATCAAGTTATTCTGATCAGTTTAAATTATCATTTCCACTTCTAGTGTATTGTCCTCTGCTATGTCAGTGCATGACTTTTTAATTTATTATTAATGTTTACTAATGAATTTATTAATATCTTAGCTCTTAGAATCAACCCGTTCTAAATTACCATTTGGTTTTAAGTTATTGGTAAATCATCATTTAACCATCAATTAATCCAGGACATTTTTAGCCTGGTGAGTTTATTCTAATAGTGTTTTTTACCTATCCCAGTTTTTGTTAAGTTGTATTCCACATTCTGCCCATTGAACCAAAAGACCCTGCTACTTTGTTCATTTAATTCACATGAGAACATTATTATTTGGCTGATGGGATTGAGCTTTAAAAAAGCTTTACTCTTTATGTGGTTGTTGTTGTTAAGTGT